TTTTTTTTATAAGTAGGCTACTTTATATTTCGACATATGTCTAATTTACAGCAGTAGGCTATTAGTATGGTCATATGCTTTTGATAACATCATATTTCTGAAATAAACTGCCATGAGTTTTGTTCTTTTGTGAGAGGAAAATTGGATGGGGCCATTACGCTCCATCTCTGTCCGTTTTAATTGCACCGGTGGTCGTTTGGCCTTTGACCCGCGGGGTCGTGAGTTGCTGACAGCTGCTTATGAAAAAGCCCAAGATTGATACCGGACACTGAAAATTTGCGGGGCGATAAAAAAAGGAAAGAATAATGGCAATAATAATACGAATATAGCCTACTAATGTGTGCATTCTATATGAGTGATATAAACAAGACGACAAATAAATGTTGTTGTTTTTTTTCTGACAGACCGAGCTATAGCATAGCCTAGTGATTTTCTAAAATAACGAGAGAGAGAAAAAATACAATCTTCCTCTCATGGAATATGAACATGTATTATAGGCTAATAAAAGAATAAAGCGACAGGACGCGATTAATCGGTGTGGTTATGTGCTGTAATAAGTCTTGGATGGCAAAATAAAATGATCTGATTGAGTGGGGAAATAGCCTAGATATTTAGTTCAGCAGTAAATAACATTGTGTTTATTATGTAAGTACCCTAAACGTATAAAAGCTCGTTATTAAATTAGTTTACCTATGTTCGCTATATTTGAGTGAGAATTTTTTTCTCTGTATTGCATCTATAACAGCCTATAACTAATTTGCATACAACAGTTGACTTGTGATTTGAGAAGAGCATTAATGGCGCAAACTTTCACGAGGTTTATTCTTGTCTCCACCAAAACTATTTAGGCTGTCATTTTCTTTTGAGAGCGTTTTCGTTTTAACTATTATTTCTTGTAGGCTTTGGGAAAGTTGGCACTTTTATAGGCTATTTGAAGACGCGCTCAATGGAAATATTCTAATGTGGCCTTTTGATGTATTCAGAGGACACGTATTTAGGCAATTCGATGTATCACTTTATTTGCGTTTTACGTTAAGCTAATTAGGTTGGGTATAAATGCTAAACCAAGAATGTATATTAGAGTATCTCTAGCCTACTCAGAATTTCAGTTATAGTTCGAGTTTAATTTAGTGAATTAAAAAAAACTGGTGTAGTTATAAAAATAGCTAAAAATGTTTGTGATTAGGCTACACAATGACACAACGCGAAACAATATGCTGTAACAAACAATCCAATAACCATCATCATTGACAATAAATCTAGGCTACAATAATCTGAGAACATACCTAAAATATAAGCCTCGGCTACCACTGAATAGCTAATTATGGAAAGTCACGTGAACACTTCGTCCAGTACAGAGATAAGAAGAAATGTGTTTTGGTCATCTTGATAAGACCATTTTCGACTCAGAAATATTTTCATATGCATGCAGTGCTTATTTTACTGAATTTTCTTGATTTGTATTATTTTAAGTTACCATCATAAAAATAAAAACGATTGAATGCGTGCAAATAGCACGTTTGTTAATTGTTTTAATTGCCAGATAGGCTAAGCAATACCGTCAGGGTAAAAAACGAAGCTGTTGAATAACGTGGAATTTGTTGTCAGTGTATTATCTCTTTCTACAATATCAGAATGCAGTGATGTTTTGTAGGCTATACCGTAGTCAAGATCTGCGTCTTCAAATCTTCATTAAAACTTTGCATGAGAAATTATAAAAATACTTGATTAATAGGCTAGCACACATTTAAAATTCCAAAACTTTTAAAACTAAAGACTTCCAGCACCTAATGGTTCGATTTCGTGTTAAAACTCTCAAACGCGCAAAGATGGCATTGACATCAATAATGAATCCTGACAATTTCTCGTATAAGAGATATGTGGCACCCGTGTTTCTTTGTTAATCTGAAGCAAATAAAGAACATGTGCCTGTTTATCAACCATGAAATGTGAGAGCACATACAGAGTCAGGCTGTTCAAAAATTTTACAGACCATCTTCACTGTCTAAACTTAGAAGAAAACGTCTCAATCTTTCTGTCCATTACATTCGCAACAAAAATTATTTAAAATAACAATAATAAATGAAAAAAAGTTGTGAATAATAGTCCACATCGAAACACGTTTGTTTTTCTTCGGACTTTGTTTAGCTGAGGCAATTTGCAGGTTTCATCTTAAACGATCTGTTGAATGACATTTATCCTCATTACAGAATCGGTTGTATGGTCGCGTTGCAGAATTTATTTTAAAAAAAGGTAGGCTAATTCAACGTCATAAACCACGGAGAAAATCCCCACACGGTCGCGCGCCGAACATGAAGAGAAGATCGAAAAGAGTAGGCTACACAGAAATGTGTGAACAGGCTTGTGCATTCAGTCTCTTTTTCTTTTGCACTGGCGATGGTGGCCCTTTTATAGCCAAAATCTCCACCTCTTAATTGATTTTCTCATAATTAACTCAGTGTGCTCATCGATTTCCACCTCAGCGGAGATTCGGCGTGTGGCTGCGCCGGACACTGATGGCCGTGCGGAGACCGTGTGATGCTGTTATTACAATGTCGTTAACAAGGATACACAACCAAACAGATATCGATCATATTGATTAAAAAGCTTCCCAAAGTAGTAAACATATGTCCAGATTTCCCACAAGTCAAGAGACAAAACAGAAGCTTGCGCGCACAATTAGGCCTATAGAAATAAAATAAATGTTGATTGCCTATCGATAGAAGGACTTAAACCATGACAAAAAATAAAATCCTTTTTAGGTTTGAAGAGTTTTGAAACATTTAACTACGACTACATTAGTCAAAAACTGCTAAATGAGCCTTTGGAATTTGGCTTGCTACCATTCATCAACACCCAGACCGTGTGTCATTCAAGCGATGAAAACAGTTGACAATTAGGTTATAGCCTTAATATTTGTCATTTCACAGACATACGGTTTTTGTTCCGCCCTTCTCGTTATAATCGGTAGCCGTCGTATTTGGTATTTTTACAACAAAAACAGCAGTAATGGCCAAAGCATAGCTACTGAAAGCTTTGCTTATTCATAAAGCTGTGCACTTATCACCACGCGACAAAAAAGCACCCCTGAAGTTCAGGACTGTAAAACACTAGCGCATGCATATTTCACAGCACGAGCTCAGTTTTTTATGAATCAAATATTCCCGCGACGCCCGCGCCAATTACATGCAGAACAGCGCGTGCACAATCCGAGATTCGCAGGAACACGCAGAGAAACACAAACTGTGGGAGAAAGGGCTGTCCCATGAATTCGTTTCTATCTAATCAATAAAATGAAAAGCAAGAGCACGAAATCATTACAGGCAATAACTCTTTCGGCCTCTCTCCGGCTCGAGCTTGGACGGGTTAAAATAGATACGACAACTTTAGCGCGAATCGTTTTAATAGAATATAGCCTAACTAACAGAAACATCAGAAAGTAGAAACAAAAATAAGCCAGGGTAAAAAAAAATAAAAGTACAGAGAACGAGAAAAATGCCGTTAGAGTACGGAAAAGTGCAAGACAATAATTTTATGTCAGTTTGTTTACACAACATTACCAGCGTTTCCATCGACGAACGTGTCGATCTCCGTCACACGTGCGAGCTGCTCGGGCACGAAAAACAGTCGGACACAGCAAAACGGGAGAGAGGGCAGATATTTGGGATGGGTGGGGGTATTCTCGTGGGGGAAACAGAAAAGGAATCGGGTGAGGAGTCTGAATTTTAAATTAGGGGCGAAAGGTGATGGGGTCGGGTGGAGGGTGTGTTCGTGCGCAAATCCTTCATGTGTCTCTCTGCCCTCCTTATCCCTAACGGTTTCCAAGACAACACGTTTGCTGAAAACAAACTTGGATTTGTGTGTGCGAGAATGAGAGAAGCAAAAAAATTGAGGAGTTTAGGCTAGATTTTAACTGTTGTTTCACTCTTGTACGTATTCCTTCAGAGGGCCTATGAGGATATGTTTTGCGTACACTTAACTAGGATTGGGCACTAATATAGCTGCCATCTACAGGTGAAGTTAATATTAGCATAGAAAACACGGCGAAGGCTTGAAGTAGGCCTCTCCAAAATACTGCGCTCTAAGCAAATAAGTGTGAACCTTATTAAAAATTTTCAAAATTTCATGCTCCCTTAAAAAAAATGTTTTTGTGCTCCCTTAAAAAGAAAGATAATCTATGTCAATAGACAGACAGGCATGCCTGTCTTATTTCTTCAGCACCATGGACAGAGCCCTAACTGAACAGCCCAATGGGCACTCCTATCCTCTTTCTTTCCGGTACCAATCTAAAATAGGTTTGGATCATAGCTTTACGGATAGGGTGACAATAATAATACTAATAGTTCAAAAGAAAGCATCCTGGCCTGTTTATATTAATCACCATTAGTAGATGTTCGTTTTGAAGCAAAAACCTGTTTGAGACACAGCTGGGATCCATTGGGCACTCGACCCTCTTTGCTTGGTGTTGGTCTAATATTATTCAAAATCCCAACCATCTGAGTCAGCAAGTGTTTAAACGCAGGGTATATACGGTAGTCCAGCAAGCAGCTACAAGCAGCCCCCCTCCCTCTATTAAAAAAAATACAGGATGCGCCCGTTATTTTCATGTGATCCTCAAATCCACAAGGGGGTGCAAAAGCATAGAAAACACTATTTAACAATAACTAAATATTATTGCATATAGCACTCTAATTATTGTAAAAATTTAAACTATGTATACATAACACAACTATACACTGTTTGTACACATTGCATAGTCTATATATTTGTGTGTAATATATTAATAATATATTCTAATCGCTAAATGGTTTAACAAAACAATGTTTCAATGATTATGGGCACTAAAGTATAATAAATCACAGGTGCATAACGTTATTCATACTAATACTATAAATGAACTGGAAAATTTAAGCAATACTTAGAGGAATTTGTCCTTAACATTCCCAAAAGGAATTTAAAAACAGAAATTAAACATTTTATCACACAATATCAGACACAACTATTTTCTGACAGTACTTTATTAAGAATCATATTTACTTAAATGTACATATTCCAAAACAATATCAAGTATTATGTTTAAACAAACACATGAAAACACAAAAGTGTTCAATTTTACACTCCCAGTAATGACAGGACTGTTCCAAAATGAATTACCACTAACTACTACTGAACATTTATCTTTTTGTCATAAAAGTACAAATATAACAAAAAGGGCAACATATTATAGAAACAGAACCAGAGGTAAGTCTGTTTTTGTCAAGGCTGGTGTCAAATCAGCAGTCACCATCTAATTATAATTAACTATCATTTTTATATCTGCAATTTACAAAGGCATCTAAAGGCCCATATAATCCATGAGACAGGAGTTGTCGGGACAAATGTAGTCTCACTGTGGTGCACTGTAGAAAGTCTTTGTTGCAATCGATTAGTATGAATCTCGACTCCATCTAGTTAATCTTTCAAAATTTTGGCAATGTTGATTGACTGGGCCATCTGTGTGACTCTTATACGCAGTACAAAAGAGCACTCTGAGTAATTCGTTAACGCAACATATCCGCCAGCCCGATGGTGGAAGTATGACTTTGCTCTTCTGTTGCATCATTATCAGCCCAAAACCTTAAGAATTAAGTTAGCATTTAATCTTTCAAACCCTTTCAAAACAGGAGATATGCTAAAAATAAAAATCCTTCTCTTTTGTTAATTATACATTTTAATGTTGTTGTTTTTTTGTCATTCTTTTGTGGATTGATTTGTAAACCCTTTAAGCTACAGTAATTATTTGTTGTGTATTCCCATTCTTTCTATCTTTTATCACAGAAAGAGAATAAGGAACGCCTCACATTAGGAACAAAATAAAATAAATAAATAATCTATACCACCCGGGGCAGAGTAAATGGTATTCATAGATGCAGAACCTCCCTCCTGTGTTTAGTATTGTGTGTTTGTCCATGTTTAAACTGACCTGCCTTGAAGATACACAGCCACACATCTGAACCTAACCTCTGAAATGTCAGAGAGTTTCTGAAGGAAAATGATTCTTGTGTCCAAGAAAACGGCTGCCCAATTGAATCTAGTCTCCTCCAATAGGCTCTCCATCTCAGCAGGGTCACCAACACTCAATGGGCAATGAAATAAAAAGGCAAAACATCTTCATCCATCACAACTGAAGGTCCCATGTGAAAATGACATTTCTTAGGGCCTGTGAAAATAAACGTGAAATACATCACTTAATACATATGGGAACTTGCAGAATAGCTTATAAACCAATACAGTAGACTATGAAGCAAACTAATTAATAATAATAAAAAAAAAACTAAAAAAAATCACGACAAAAAAGCCTTTGATTGCAGATGTTATTGCGTCATATTTATTCATAAAAATGTATAGCTTTATTTAACGATTTTAAACATTCCATACTCATAAAAGGTACTTAGAGTATGGTGTTTAAACTGTAAAATAACCATAAAATAACTGTTTTTGTTTTCCATGAAATTAGTTTAAAAATTAGTTTAGTTTATTTTTTTAGGGCTGCCAAAGTCAAGTAACTAATATTAACTAAATAAATTAATGCTATTTTATGTTAGTATGACCACATCTTTGTTCTCTGTAAAAAGCATTTAGAATATATATTACAAATAATGCTTGCCAAATCAATTAAATAAAATTAACAACAACAACAAAAACACATGATATTCTAAAGTACACACATCAAAGGGATTTTTAGGAACACCGGTTAAATTTCTCATTAATAAACTAATCACATGGCACTTGCTTTAATGCATTTAGGGGTGTGGTCCTGGTCAAGACAATCTCCTTAACTCTAAACTGAATGTCAGAATGGGAAAGAAAGGTGATTTAAGCAATTTTGAGCGTGGCATGGTTGTTGGTGCCAGATGGACTGGACTGAGTATTTCACAATCTGCTCAGTTACTGGGATTTTCATGCCTTGTTACCACTGCACAGGCTGCTGGTGGTGGTCTAATGGTGTGGGTGATGTTTTCTTGGCACACTTAGGCCCTTTAGTGCCAATTGGGCATTGTTTAAATGCCACGGCCTACCTGAGCACTGTTTCTGACCATGTCCATCCATTTATGGCCACCATGTACTTATCCTCTGATGGCTACTTGAACATGACAATGAGTTCACTGTACTAAAATGGCCCCCACAGTCACCAGATCTCAACCCAATAAAGCATCTTTGGGATGTGGTGGAACGGGAGCTTCGTGCCCTGGATGTGCATCCCACAAATCTCGATCAAATGCAAGATGCTATCCTATCAATATGGGCCAACATTTCTAAAGAATGCTTTCAGCACCTTGTTGAATCAATGCCACGTAGAATTAAGGCAGTTCTGAAGGTGAAAGGGGGTCAAACACAGTATTAGTGTGGTGTTAATAATAATCCTTTAGGTGAGTGTAATATATATATATATATATATATATATATATATATATAGGCTTCAGAAGAGTGACGGTTTAAAATCACGTATTTAGCATCTAGCAACTTTTTCACCAGTATTTTTTATTTGTTTACTATGTTTACTAAAACTATCCAAATAATTTTTGTTAATTAAAATAAAGCTGAAATATAAATATTTCATTAAAAACTCTAGGCAATTACTGTAACTGAAAAATGTTTAATAAAAAAACAAACAATTAAATGATAAAACCAAATAACAAAATAACTAAAACTAATATTAGAATGAAAAGGTAAAAATAATCTTAGAATTAAAAGGTAATTCCAAAAATTAATAAATACTACAGTACTTATATAGATAATACTAAAATAAAAAACACTGTTTCTCTCCTGGTAGAAAGTGGACAAGACAAAACTGCTTTCTAACACCCCCTGGTGGTTACATGTTAATATAGAGAGGCAAGAGAGGGTGTAGGCTACATAAGGAAATCCTACTGTGTCAGCACTGATGTATGATCATTATTGTACCACATGAGTAAAAAAAATGCACAAATTAGAATGAACCTACAAACTCACACTCACCTTTGTGTGTCCCAGTTTGTCCCATTATGTGCCTGGCTGCCAAGCAACAGTTTCCTACCCTCCTCGTAGTCATCCTGATCCACACTGACAAGCAGCCGGACCCCCTCCTGTCCCGCTGCCCTTTTCAAAGAGTCTGTGATGAAGACCCCTTTCAGTGCCTCGAGCAGAGCCCCGCTCAGGTAGTCTGCCCAAAAAGCATCTAGGTTGGCAAGTTCTGAGAACTTGATATCACAGACAATAGAGCCCAGATCCCGTGCGCGGAGCAGCAGGTTCGCTCGGCTGAACAGTTCAAACTGCCTCTCCAGCGGCTGCTGCTTGTCTGAAGAAACTCCTCCACGAAGGGCCGTCTCATGCTCCGAATACTCCGCACGCACGCGCAGACGGATATCTGAGAGCGTAAGAGCATGGGAGACAGAGAAAGAGAGGAGGGTGGGATGAAGGATGGCATGCAAAGGGGCAAAGAAGAAAAACAGCAGCAGAGAAAAGGGGGAGAACACGAGAAATGAAGCAGATCAGTGAGGGGTCAAAAGGAGGACAGAAATACAGTCATAATGAGACTTGATATGCAGTTCATTTGTTTATACAAAAAAAAAATTGGTATAAAAATAACTAGCAATGATTCACAGATTTGCTTTAAGCTAGTGCCTTTGCATTTTTAAAATTTTGAACTGTTTCGGACAGTGTATTAAACCAGAATGCACAAAATTCGAACTCCTTGTGATATGGCATCAGCTCCAAGATCTACTTGATAACAGAGGCCATCATCTTCAAAATGTTTAACATTGAGATTTTGGAGTCGATTGACCCAGATTCTTCACTTGTAGTCTTTAAGGCTTTTGAAACCAGTAAGCTAGTTTAGGAGGGGGAGATCTAGATCAATTCATCATGAGGTGGCACTCAAATTATTTGCAGGCACACAGGGACTTGGAAACACATTGGTAAAGTCCAACATGTCAACTGAACATAGTACTTGTATATTCGTGGGTCGCAGAGATTGGGTCGTGAGGGAGTTACGAAAGCACATTAACTGAGGCCGTTCAGGAGGTTCAGGTGGACTGAAAGCACCTCAAGCTAAATCCAGAGATGGGCTCACATTCAAAGTTTCACTCGACAGATCTGGTGATATTTATACTTTGATATGTGCATTTGAATTCTGTTGGGGCCATAATTGACAGGCAGAATGATGCAGGTTGGCTTTACCAAACAGTGGAGGTAGAACTGATGTCATGCAACAGCACAGGGAACAGAGACGGCAAAATACGATTGGAGTATACATACTGAACCAGAGCTTCGCAGTGATGTCATTTCCTTTCATGTCATTAGCTCAGAGGTCAGAGGAGGAAGTGGACCCATCAATCTTCAGAACATTGCTGCAACACAAATCCAACCTTTCTACAACCAAAGCCCCACCAGAAACTCCACCCTTTTGCATGTTGGGACGTTTACAAAGCAACAGTCAATATGAAATATGAAAATTGACTGGAGCTAAATATCAAGCATTACCTTAATTCTATAATCAATGCAGGTACAGTATACAGTATTGGGCTTAGCTAGTAAATATAATTACACTACCGTTTGGGGTCAGACAGATTTGTTTTTCTAAGAAACAAACAACTTGATTCAGCAAGGACACATTAAATTGAAGTGGCATTAAAGACTTTTACATTGCCACAAAAAAGATCAGCACAACAGTTTTCAATATTGATAATAAAATAAGAAATGTTTGAGCACCGAATCAGCATATTAGATTTCCGATTTCTGGAGGATCATGTGACTGAAGACTGGAGTAATCCAGCTTTGACAATAATAAATTATATTTTTAATTAATTTAAATTGTAATATTTCACATTACTGTTTAAATAAATCTTGTCGACCCCAAATTTTTTAACAGTAGTATAATTACAAGATTTGGTAACACTATTTTACAGTGACTTAGTTACACATTACTACAGGTACTTATTATTACTCAGTACTTATTTGCGTAAGTACAGTGTAACTATGTCACCTTTTAAAGTGCAACCCAATATTTATTTTTAAATGCAAGTGAGACAAGTACAAGGATTAATATGAAAGACAGTGTAGCTCTGTGTGTATACTATCCTACTACTGCTTTGACAATTTAATGCTTTATTTTACCATGCCAATAAAGCTTCTTTTGATCATTATAAAAAACAAAAAAACAATGGCCCTTACTAAATGATACTGTTCAAATATTACCCATTTCAGATCCAAACTTAACACTTGACAAGGAAACTACTCTATGACGTGAGGTCTAACCAATTTAGATTCATTACTGACGCTACTAGTACTTTATGTTAAAGGGGTCCTGACACGACAAAGCAAATTTATCTTGATCTTTTATCAAAGGTCTTTGTACCATTACAACATCCTGCCAGTTTCGTATCTTAAAACATCCTCATCATTATAAATAAAGCATTAATTTCAAGCGCCAAAAATGACTCGTTTCGATATCGCGTGATCTGACGTCACAATATATTTGCATGACTGCCATCAAAGCAAGACATCAGCGAATATTTATACATCATCTCTCTACACTGGATACAGTGTACAGATGTGCATTCAGTTTCTGACATACTCCACGCGCTTGAGTCTGTCGACAACAGGACAAATAGAAGAGTGAAAGAACGTTTGCTTTGACGCATCCAGTTGCTCGTTTGCGTCTAGAGCATTTATTTTAATGGTGTCCCGGATCGTGTCAGAGGATTAAATGTTTGTTAAAAAGACAGTGTATTGGAGAGTTCAAAAAGAAACTGAAGCAGAATGTATTGGGTGTGACAGCAGCTGCTTGTAAGTCAATTATTTCATAACGCTTTGTCTGTGAATAACGGTTTTATATAATGGTTTCAAAACACTTGCAACAGTGAAAGGGCGTTGATACTATTTCCTATGCAATTACGTAAGCCAATCAGAACAGTGGCCTTTAATGACACGCCTTAAAAGGAGTTGCCCCATAGAAACTGATCATTTCAGACAAAGGGTCAGAATGAACATAGGAAATAAATGTTTGCTTGTTTTTTGTGCAAAAAACTTTACTAACATAAGTAAACTTCAAAGAACATATTAAAATAAAAATAAAAAATCCATGTCATGACCCCTTTAAAACAAGGATGTAAATTTAAATGTAAATGTTGTGGCTACAGGAACAACATTACATAGTGTGTCAAGTTTAAAAGATCATGGTGGTCCCCCCCTCTCCAGAATACTCCCAAAAATAATTTGTAATGCAGGTTGGAAAGCAGACTCGAAACACAAAACTTATTTAACGTTCTTTTTAAACACAGCACACATTTACAGGGCACTTTTAGTTCCATTAAACAAACATTATCAGACCTCGTCACATATACTAATACAGGACAATGGTTTTTCTCTGCTCTCAGCTTCAGTACACAGAAGGAATCAATAAGCAGCAGCACAGTGGATGTGTTTTTGTTCATATATGTAATGTGTCCACTGTAGGCATTATGATTTTTGTGCATCCCAGGACAAAAAAATAGTAATAAATAAATAACATGAATTCACAAATATTTCGATATTTTGTAAATATATTGTAAATTACTTCAAAATAAACAAACAATAACTAACTATTTTTCCAAAAATAAAAAATAAAGTGCATCATTTTATGGGGTGTTGCTCCATGCGAAGAGCTTCCACACTTATTTCGATCCCTCTTTTCTGCTGAACAACAAACCAAGAAGGAGGGAGAGAAACGGCTGACCGACTGCACACATAAGTCAGGGTCAAGCTTTTCTTTTGACTTTTTTTTTTTTCTTTCATTCTCTCCCTCTCTTAGTATGTGAGGATGGCCAACTTGTTTTTGTTCCTGACACTTGTGTCAGTCTGTTTTTCAACTGTGGACATAGAGAAAGGAGAGGAAGAGAGAGAGAGAGAAACAAGCAGTTTTGGATGAACGTTGTTGCAATAGTTTTGCTATGTCTCATTTTTTGGTCAATCAGGCAAAGCTCACATACATAATTTCTTGTTTGTGTGCGAGAAAGCAACAATTTCTAATTCATATGGAGACAGCAGGTTCAAACCTCCTAGGTCTAGAATGAGCTTATCAGGCTACCATTTTACTAACTTTACAACCAGTGTCTACTTCAATTCTACAAAATCAAAACACTGGGAAAATTCGATTTAATAATTTAAGATAACCTGTTAAGTTTACTTAAAAGTTTTTAAATATTTAAGTTTCAATGCTGAAAACACATATAAAACACTGGTATGGGTCTAAACAAGAACTGTTGGGTCATTTTCTTCAGAACTGCTCCAACAAAGGATCACAGAGGAGTTTTTTTGAGGACAAAACATCGCAAAAACGAGCTTTGCCTCTGAGTTTGGCCAACGACTGTAGAATGGCTTGTTTTTGAACATAGATTACACTGAAAACAGAGTAACTTCATGTCTTGTAATGTTGGTGTAATATAGACAAATTAAAATGGACTCCCAGAAATTTCCAAGGAATTTTTCATGAATTCTTTGAGTCAGTTCTGTGAAACACTGAGGCCAACAACCCCTCCAGAGAGGATTTTGTTCCTATTTTTTCCCAAATCTAGTTCATCGTTTAGCACATGTAACTGGGGAAGTGGACAGTAACAACTGAAAACTGACATTTGAACACAAGAGTATTAGATTCACCCCTCCTCCTATGCGAGTTAGGAAGGGGGTTCTTTACCTTAGGACATGGACCAGGCGCGTGAGTTAAAGCACACACATGTCTCGACTGTGTATGATCAGACAGAGCGGACAGCACACACTTGTTTTTGTTGTGAGCTCTGTCTCTTTCACTCTATCCATTCTCCTGCTTTTCTACTCATTCTTGAGTCAACCTGCCAAGATCAAATGTGGAGTCAACACAGCAAACAGCATGTTCAGCTAGTTCAGGAGTAAAACAAAGGTGAAAGTTCAAAGGTCATTCATGGCATAACAGAACTTGTTGTCTGAGAATCTGAATAACAAGCATCTCCAGTGTGGATCTCATAGTCAACAGAGGGCATTCAAATTGAAATGTAACCATTTGAGATTGAAGGTTAGTTCATGAACATTTTATGGGTCAAAAGAGCTCACTATACAGTGCAAGCTAATGTTTAAGGGAGAGGTAAGGTAAGGAAGGGCACAAAGGATTCTCACCTCACTAACAAAAGGCCAGTGCAGAAAGTAGATTAGCTTTTGCTGCATCAAAGCTCAGTTACAGAGGGGAGAGGATCGATGCTTTAAATAAGAAGTGGAATGACAATAATCAGTGTTTTACTGGATAAGAGACACCAGGAAATACAGGCGATGCAGCTCAGTCTCAGAGGCCCAATATTCAATGATCTCTTTAAAGACATTTCATTCAGGCACACCACAGGAGTTATTCACACGGAAAACTGCTTATCCAAAGGAAAGAGAAAAAGGGATAGAGAAGTTGGTGAAAAATGTGATAGAAACAAAAGCAAAGAATGTAAGTGTACTTTTCTGTCTGAAAAATCGAACCATGAAGGAAGCAGGGGGATTGAAGCAAGTCTAAAGCATAATTGAAACATTGTCTTGTGCACACAAATGATCACAACTACAATAGACCTTAGTCAGGTTAGACACCAAACTGAATTTGAGGCGGATGAAAACAAGGCTGTGAGAGTTACAGTCGTTACAATGGCACACACTGTATAGGTCCTAGATCATGCAAGATTGACCACTAAACTTTTAAAGCTGTTATTCGTTTGTTTACCTAGGGGTTTTTTTTTTCCCCGAATGATGTTTCATCACCTGAAACAATGTTATGTTGTTAAACAACAGTAGAATGCATCGTACGCACTGTACTTCTCCCCATCGCAGCCTCGTTTTCATTCCTGTCAAAAGTTATATATGACACCACCCTGAATAAGGTCTATTGGGTATAAAAATGCAATCAGTAACCAAATCATAATTATACAATCCTTTTTCTGAGAAAGAAATGTTTAAAAAGAAGCATGAAATCCACACACACACACACACACACAAAAAAAAATAGCAGTGCCAACAAATCGTATTGATCGCGCAACGTTTCGACCATCAGTTCTTCCTCAGGCACAATGAAGGGTTGAAGGATGAAGACCTGATGGTCAAAACGTGATCAATAAAATTTGTTGGAGCTGCTATTTTCTGTGTGTGGACTTCATGCTTCTTTTTTTCCTTTATTGTTACTTTGTTGTCCATCACCTGAGCCCAATTAGGGTGTTTTTACACCTTTTTTTTGTAATTTTGATTCTTTAATGAATATGTTAACTACTAAGCAATCTTGTGCTGCACCAAATTATTGTTTTATAGAGGTCTGCAATTCTCAAGTTTTGAATTGCCGAATACGGATGCGGAAAGGAAGATACTGATATGTGTGCGGGAAGCAGGAGAAATAAATGACTCGTGGGCCTCCGCAAAATATAATTATCTAATAATAACATCATCTAGAAGTCTGTAACTGGAGATCTGGAGAGTCGTGCTTGTGGAAAGTCGCAAAGACGAGACAGAATCTAACCAGACCGGGACTGAAAAATCCTATGGGCTTTTGCGGGCGGGAACGGGACAAAGCAAGAACGTTTCAGATGGGAGCGTGATAAAATTAAACGCATTTTTTGGAAAAATCAATCCCATGCATACCTCTACTATATTACTTTTGATTGATAAGAGCAACTGCTACTAGGATGCTAAGTGCATAACAGACTATAATCAAAAACATTACAACTTTGGATTTGCTTGTTGCCTTTAGCAAAGGCTAAATGCTTTGAGCAGAAGACATGAATAAGCAAGGACATAAGCAGGTTCAATTGAGGGTTTAAGAACCCCCTGCAGCACACGCAATGAGGAAGGTTACCAGAGCCATGCAGTCTTTGTACAGGCAAATATAAAGGGTCAATAAGCATCTGTAACAATAGAGTGAAACTGACCAGTACTGCTCATCTTGGTGCAATGAGGCAGACAAAGAACGTGTCTAGAGCCTGACTCACACACGTTTGAAAAACCAAGATGGCACCCTTATGCATGAATTAGGATATTTGAGTAAACGTAACATAACAACTCATCCACATTTTTATACTTTTATCCTTTTAAACTCAATTATCACAATAGATGAAATAATAATCTATTGAGTTTTTAATAGAGTTCCCAATTTACGTTTGGAAAGTGTGAGGTTCATGCATCAAATTTATTTAGAAAGTATCCACACATTTAAAGATGGTGAAAATATGATTTCTGTCGAAAATAAGCAACATATATTTATAATTTAGTAACACCAGAAGATGCACTGTGAAGCCAAAGATGAAAGGTGTTGAAAGGAGGCAAAATCATGCAGATACAATGATTATAGGATATGTATCTGTACCGTTACGAAGAAAAGAAATACCTATTATAGTAAACAATAAATTACTGCAAAATTGCTATTGACATGAGTATCTCTATTAAACGTCATCATGAGACATTCAGCTCCCACAAGGGCATTATACAGGAAAACTTGTTCGTTTTTTACTGCTTTACAGCAAATTGGAGCAGGAGCTAAGTTGGGGCCATTGGTATTTTGAGACTTGAATGTCCCAGAAAAACAGTCCTTGCAGAATATAAATGCCTCACACAATGCCTTCTTTCCTAACAAATAGTTTGGTATTCCTTACCTACTGTGCCATTATTGCCATTCAGTGAGTCTCATGTGCTCTGTTCTGAAGAGATTTTAGCAATGCCCTGATGGCAGGACAGCTCCCATCTAGCAAAAGCATAAAGAGGCTTTGGTGTGAGCACCCTTTGAGCTCAGTCAGAATGAAACTCAAAGTGATAATAGTGCAGTGTGCAGGGAATTCATAAAGGGATGAATGGAGATGACATACGTTTAACCTATTGTGTGACGCTTTCATTCTGACAGCATTAGAGGTTCAGGCACTAATGAATTGATTAATTATAAACTGTTGAGGTGATCAGCTCTAAAGCGTTTTACAGATACTGTAAAATCAAACAAAAGGAGATAGAAATGAAAAGGCAAAGAGATTCATATATTCAAAGAAATGCTGGTAAGAGAGATGTAAAAAGTCTCTTACCACAGGTCACTTTGTTGGGAGTTGGTTGAAGCTGGATTACAGGCTTTCCCGCAGATTTTTTTCTCCAGTGGTGACCTCTACCTCGCTTCCGTCGGACAGTGGTGGTTGTTGTCAGAGAAGAGCCTGCCCCTGACACAGGTATGACAACAGATTAATACACATGATAACTAGGGCTGGGTAGCCTTGGACATGTAGCACAGACAGAGCCCAAAACCAGTCGGGCCAGAAGCTTCATAGTGCTTCCCTAGGCATGTGCCGGTATCAAACTGTCATGCTGCGATTAATTGATTTAGCTTTTATCACAGTATTATCACAATATTTTAATTGCACAAGAGAAGCGGATGAATTGGGGGTATCTAAAAACACAAAGATTGTCAATACATTTAGTAAACAATTTTCTAAGTTTTGAAAGTTTTTATTAAGTTTAGTGACAACATGTTGCAATGTTTACATGTACAATGACTGGTAGGCTACTGTTTGTATTATTGCTTAACCCAATTTTCACGATTTCAATCAAATTCTTGGATTTGATTTCAATATTGATTCAATATAAATATTAGATAGGCTACAGTAGACAGCATGCAAAAAATATATCTCACATAATACTGTAAACATACAGAGAGAAATTAAATATAATGCAGTTTTCATTATAATAGCAATTATATAATGACAAGTAAAAATATAATACTTAGGTAATAGTGCACATATTTAGCAAAATACTCAGCTATTTGTTCTAGTCAACTAACATGCTGGTCATTAAATGGCATTCCTTAGGTAAAAGTAACATTCTGTGACATAATTGTTCTCCTGCGCTTTGGAAAGGAGAATGCGGCACGCCTAGTGTTTTATACGCATTTTTAGGCGCTATGTGAACCAGGCCTAAAGCGGCATCGAAGTGCAGTTACACTGAATCATTTCTCTTCAGATCGTTTACTTTTCACTGCTGGAACAAGCACAACATAGAAGTTGCTCGACGTAGAAAAGCACTTCTTCAGCGGACCAAATCTCAAGCTGCTTTTGTGAACTTGCCACACACTGCTGTGCGTGTCCTGGTGAAAAAACGAACAAGAAGCTGAGCTGGTGACGTGAGGTGCCATCAAAAGCTGTCATATATTTGCACTTTTATAAATTGCTCATCCAAAGCATCACTGAAATATTTTAATGTTTTGTTTATTTAAATGAAAAGTTAAATTCTGTATCATTTCTCTTTCATACCGTTATGTCAAATAATGACATTACAAAGTGAAACTATTGTAGGTGCTTTTCATTACAGTGATTGCACGTTTTTGAAACGTGTAGGAGGTGGGGGGGGTTCTTTAAAGGTCCCGTTCATCGCAATTCCATTTTCCAAACTTTAGTTAGTGTGTAATGTTGTTGTTAGAGCATAAATAATACCTGTACATTTATAAAGCTTCAATGCATAGCAAGAAAGATATTTTATTTAACTAAAGTCCCCTTTCAAAACCTACAGCGAATGTCCGGTTTGGACTACATCCCTCTAGTTCCGTTTTTAATGACGCAAGTATACCTGTTTTTTTGACTAATCTCCGCCCACAGGAATACACAACAAAGGGGGAACGGTCTTGGAGGGATTTGGATTTAGGAGGGTCTGCAATCTGCATCATTCGTCGACAAACCTATACATTGATTTGAGGCAGTACTAATTTAATGTGCAGTCACGCAACAATCAACTTTTAATAAATAAATTATTGTAATGCATGGCAACATTTCTTTTTCACAACATGGCAGCTTGTAAGGGTAGATTCATGGTAAAAATGAAGTACATTTATATAAAGTTGTTATAAAGAACTGTACACAACAAAAAATGATTTAATTAGGAGGTGTTACAGTACTTTTTGTATTTCTTTGCAGAGGATGTTTTCATTTCGTCACAGTTCTCATTTACATTTATGAAACATTTATTACTAATCAAAACTCATGCACATATGTAACTAAGGTAGGAATAGACAATAGACTTCATCTATGTTCTTCGGGTCTGATTCAGGCTCAAATTGATATGGTAATATATTTGACATTTTTACAATAACAATCAGCGCATGCATCTCCAATTTATGGTAAGAGCCGTGACCTTTTCGGCAACGTGCGATAAGCTGCTGTCGAATCACAACACAGGAACCGCTGTCACAACCAGAACTTGTTACGCATTTCTGAAGGAGAGACTTCATAGAGCAAGAAAGTCATCGGCCCGTTTTTTGGACAGTGAAAACAAAGGTACACAGATAAGTAAATTGTGTGAAAAATACTGGGTTTTTCTTTACACGCGAAACATGAACACGTTATATTCAGGGTTGCCAACTGTCTGGCAATCTCATGCTCAACAAAGTAATCTCACACTAAATTAGACATTATTCTGTGCTGTATTTTTTTGTATTACTATAAGCAAGTTCAGGCTCTTAACTACTGATTGGATGCAGAGAAAAATCGCGGAAAAAGATGACACTGACACCGACAGACTTGATAGAGAAGTTTACTCTTGATATGGAACGTTTTGGCGCTTTTAAATGTGACATATCACAGTAGCGCCTCAGTTCGAACGGTACGTACAGTTGCCTAGGCTACAACACCCACAAGGCACGAGCAAAATACTGTATCTGGTAATCTCCTGCTTTATATTAAACAAACTGTAAACACGGCCTTTTGCGATGCACAGAGCGACACTGCGCTGCCTATGACTTTGACCATGGACTCGCAGCACTTCAACACGCGTTTTTTCCGCTTGGCAAGCCGAACGGACGTGACATGGGGGCGTGGCAGCATTGATGATTCCATTTTTTAATTCCAAGTTCAAGATTGAGAATTAATTTCGATCGATTTTGATTTAAAATCGAAATCATGACACCCTTAATTTCAAACTAACGATCAAAGACTTCAGATTTTAGCCTAAGATAAGATCAGAGGATTCTTTAAGGATTTGCAAAATTTGTCTCAGATGGCCAAATCGTACAGTGTGTAAAGTGTACAAGTGTAAAACTCGCCAGTCGCATGCTTCTCTGGAACAATGTCACACAAACCATCATTTCACCAACAAATGGATTTTGTCAAGTGGCAAAAGGTTTTATCAGAAAACTAATCAGAAAGAAATCACTGGGAACAAACAAGATGAAAAAACAAGCATCAATGTTTTACAATAATAAGTGATACATTGATAGTGAATTAATTTGGGTCAAGATTGCACATTAGTCACACAGAAATAAAGTGGTATTTTCTGTTATCTTTCTGTCACAAATGAAAGTAGACAAACATCCTTCACGTCTGTTTCTGTGTAGTCAAAGTACAGTATGTTTACATCACATTTAGAAAGAACGATCCTTTCTACAAAAACGTTCCATCAAAATTATAAGCTGAGGAGCATTAGCACTCTCTCCAGTGACAGTCCCAATACAGTCGTATTTTAAGTCAGAGAAACAGTTACTATATTTTATGACATATGTGGCGCTAAATATGGATATCAGACAGTCCGGTATAGAGACATGAGATAAAATAAATACTAGTGCTGTCAAACGATTAAAATATTTAATCGTGATTAATCACATTAATGTCATAGTTAACTTGTGATTAATCACACATTATCTTTTTTATTTCTTTTTGTGCCATTATATTTTCTCATTTTAATGCTCTAAATATCAACAAGAAAAAAGTGGATCAGCTTCCTTTGTGCAAATGTTTTTTTTATTGAAAACAACATTGAAAATACTGTGTGCAATTTCACACTAAAACATTCTCATTTGGAGCAAATAATCTCTCGCACAATGTAACATTGTCCATCAATAATAGGATGAAAGAAATACTGACGATGTCCTGATATTGACGAGGGGACGGAGAATTCGCATCAGCTGTGTGTGTGTGCTTGGCCGTCAAGTGGTATTTCAGACTGGATGTGCTGCGATGATGACTCAGTTCACAATGACAAAACACACAGATCACTTTGGTCTTGTCAATGGGACCATTTCGCAACTTTTTAAAAGTAAACTTTTTATAATTCAGAATCTTATTGGCATCCATTTTCGGCGTCTCGCACCCGTCATCCACTTAAAACGTAACGTTAACCAACTATTTGGCTGGCTCACAACAAGCGCGTTTCAGGTCTAGCTATATCTGGTGCTTTCAGACAGGACGCGGAATGCGTGCCATTACGCCAGTTTTCAAAACTTTTTGGACACCAAAAAGTTTCTATTGGCTGCGCTTTTTCTCTGTCTTGCATGCGCTTCATGAGGCATACATGTTAGGTCTCTCTGCCGTGCATGAAATATGGTTTAAATGTTAAGAATTTTAAATAGAAAATAATTTTAAGAATTTTGAATAGGCTATATAAACTAATATAGCTTCAAAATATAAAAGCTTGTAAATAAAGAGGAAAAAAAAAAAATTACAAGCAACGCCACTACCGGTTGCTTTTAGAATACAAGAGGTTGTAACGTTAAATCAGAGCGCAAAGGCACTGTCATTTCTGCATCTATTATCAAAGTATTCATTAGTAGAACCTGAAGTGGTAGAAACGTTAATATTAATATTTGATTAGTATGTTGATTTACAGTGTGTGCTCCTAAATTTTCTGGTTGTGCCCCTAAAATTTTCAGTTGGGGGCCACTGTGCTCCTAGTGAAGAAAGTTAGTCTGGAGCCCTGTATACTGATGCATATTATAAATGACAATGATCAAATATTATATGTTAATTTGGCTAAAGAGTGGGGAAAATAAGCCTTTTAACTCGATTAAACTTAATCAACCGGCCAGCAACAGCTGTTTTATTATATATATTATTAGACTAGCAAAAAAAGCTGAAAAACAGAGACAAATCTTTTAACAAACTTTAATAAATTAATGTGCTGAGCTTTAGCTGTAATTTCTGCTCACCTGCTCTCCACTGGTGGTCTTGTGTGTTTTCAAAGGATGGTCCATCTGTGTTTGGGCTGATTTGTTTGTCCACCTCTGGGTAGTCTATCTTCTCTCGCTCTGGAGACACTAACAGCACAGCTTACATATCAGTATCAGACCATAAACATTACTGTTTTACTACTACAGTATGATGTAGTTTTAAACCTGATACTCACCTGTTCTTCTCTTCTTTTGTGACACAAAGGGCAAAACATCATGCCGTGTCAGAATCCGCAGCAACTGCAATAGAGGTCTGAGATTTCCCTCGCTCAAGTACCCTCGCCTCTCCAACTCCAACAGCAGTTCAACGCCACTCTTGGGTCGGTGGCGACAGGCGATGGGGCATGGCTCATTCTGTGGCTGTATTTTTCGCCATGTATTCAGAAGCCGGGGACATGGAGAATTACCCTGTGGAGATCCATCAGGCCCTGGAGGTAAATCTTCAGTCCATCCATCTGGATCGAGTGGATGCTTTCCAGGATAGGTTTCATCAAGGAGAAAGGACAAAACCTCGACATCACTCTCTGTGAGTTGGGAGCCCACTATTTCAAAGATCTCATGGAGGGACAGCATCCCATAATAGTTCATGCACTCAGTTTCCTCCCAGTACAGGGAATATCTTGTGCATTGTGCTGAAGCCATGAGAAATGTCTTAGTGTGCCTGGTCAAGAAGAACACAAGAATATCAAAAGTGGGTTATTATACAAGTAAAGGTTAAAAAAACGCAAATAGGCCGGATTTCAAAATTACAAAAGAACAGTGTGCGGTTAAACACGGTTAAAATCTCGCTAAATAGCACCTATGTTAGCCTAAAAGAGCTAGCTTTCAGGGTCGATTTTGGATTAAAATAACAGTTCTATAAACCATTCAAATACAATTATTGTGTCTCCAATTGGTACAAAAACAACATAGAAAGTTATTTACACGTTCGTCGTGGAAACAGCGCTGTTATTTTGTTTCGAACAGCGTTTCTGTGGTGACCCACCCTCAGTCCGTCCGTCCCTCAGCCGTTCCAACCGCTGTCAAACGTTCCTCCCGTACAGCGTCACGTGTTCTTCTTATGTAACGTCACGTTTGAGATAAGAGAACAGAAGACCTAAAGCCGAAGTGAAAAAAAAGACGTTCAGTTATGTTTAACTACTAAATTTACAAAACACTGTTCAATTCTATAAACGAATAAAATGATTGAGACAACGTTCAATTGTTTGTGTTTGCTGCGTCAGCTGACATTCCTGCAGCTAACCGACTTCCGCCTCTAACGTTACCAGATTTTTCCTTGACCTGACATCACACTGCACCAAAAACACTCGATGTAAAATTAAACAAAACACACACGCGTGCACAAGAAACATGTTACATACTACACACAGCCACATTTAAGTGCACTTGTTATCAACATCGTCGTGTTAGCAGTGTCCGGAAGGAATTGCGTGTGTTTTTTTAACAACAAGGTTTTCTCTATCGGTTTGTTTTGTTCATGTTTTGCTGCATGAATAAAACACGCATATTTTAGGTCGGAAAAAAATCTTACCTGTACCAAACTATGTATCTGAATTGATTATACTCTTGAGCAAACCCTTCAAACACCACCCACTTAACTGTAAAAAACAACACTCGAGCGTCAGCTAGTTTAGTGGACTGATTCCTCACAGTCGCAGATCTTCAAATGTGTATTTGGAGGAAAATCGCTCGCATATGTTTTGTAGATCGAGGCTTTGAGTCAACAAACCCTTCACGTGTCACGTTTATGAGCTATCGTGCGCAGAATGTCGCCATATTGGGAAGGGAAAATTAGAAACACAAAGAAAGAGAGTCGAAATGAAGCTTCAGTAACAGTCCATGGGTTCCCTCTTTTATTTATTTATTTATTAATTTTTTTTTTTAGCAAAGTCATTTCTGTGAATTACTTTACTCATACTTTTCGAATAGAAATTACACACAACCATTCATAGACTATAATTATTATTTTCTTTTATCAAAAACGTAGGCTGCGGACAATTACTTCATGAGGAGGTTGTCTAATTTGTCAAGCACGTCCTTGTGGTAGCTGGTAACGTTAGTTGTAAGACGTGCAGAGACGTTTCAGCAATATATACGTTTATTGTGTAACATAACTTCATTCATACATTTTAAAACATCTATTGAAATAGTTCTCCCAAATTCTTCAATTCTGTCATAATTTACTCACCCCCAAGTTGTTCCAAAACAATGAGTTGCTTTCTTCTGTTGAATTCAAAAGAAGAAATTGTACCCAGTGACTAGTATTTTTTCCTACTGTATGAAAATTAAAGGGTTCCTTCAACTGTCTGGTTTATTAAACTATAGCCTTCCTAGCTGGCCTCATAATTTGTAATATATAATACATAATATAGCTGGCCTCCATGTCACTAGGTGGCAGTTATCAGTTCGACTCGTGTTTACATCTACAGAAGAAGATCGTAAACGTCATTGTTGCAAGATAACCACCACATCATATCCGCAGTTCATCAACATTGAATACACATCTACACAAAGTACTGCAAGTATGAATTTTGTTTTATGATTTATTTGCCTCCCAGTGCACTCTTTTTTTTTTAGCAATATCTAAATTCACTGTCGCATCTCAAAGCTCAATTTTAGTAACGTACATTTTTCATAGATGAGAGTAAATCAGCATTATTTAATAGAGCGCTTGTTAGTTTCCGTTACTGATTTTATTAACAAACTTAGGAGAGTGTTTTTGTACCAACCCGTCAAAAATATCATGTTGTTAAATGGTATAAATGTCATAATTTCATATGTTTTGGACAAATCTGACATAATGCAGAGAAGCTAAACAAACTTGTTCATCCTGATTCTTTCTCGTTGTGGACGCAGTTTCTGTACCAGCCCATTAGTGACATCGATTTTCCATTAGCTCACAATGTAATTTAAGATATTTATAACTTGCTGCTTTAATGGGAAGTGTTTTTTGTTTTGTTTTTTGTTTTTTTGTAGAATGGATACTGTTTTTAAGTTCTCATCAAGCATTAGAGTTTGTTTTGCAAATATATATTTTGTGTGCCTCTTTCTTAATGTGTGTTGCGCTATACTTCCCCCCCTTGATGAATTAGGACCTGCACCTTTAATGACTACAGTAATGTAATAATACGATACTATAATAACTACAATATGACAAATATGCTGAAAATATTTTTAATGATCAAAGTGATGGACCCCTCATTGGAGAAGAGTCCCAGAGTGTCCTCTATAAATTTTTTTTGTTTTGATTTATTAATACGAATCACATAAACTAAATGGGCCATCCATTACCTTGTTCCATTAAGATTTATACAAAATGTTTTATTAAGCTATACTCAATACTCGTTTAAAATTCTTAATTCATAATATGAATAATATGTAAGGATTATTCAATTTTCTGTAATTTTACTATTTATTGAAATGCATCTTGAAAAAAAAGGTACATCTAAGAGCACCTTTATGGTGTACTGCCATATAGTCAGTGTTCAGTGTAACTAATGACTAATTTAATTACCTTTCCCTTAAAAAAGTAAAGAAAATGATTACTCTTTTTTTTTTGTAATTTAATTACAGTTACTTCTTATGTCAGGATATAGACTCAAGTCTATGTTAAATGTTGTTCTGTATAGTCTGTTATTTTGATGTTAAATCCAATTGTTTTATAGTTTAATAATACTGTATAAAACAATAGTGGATTTAACATCAAAATGTTACATCTAATGTTAAAACGTATGTTATAATGTAAACTTATCTCCATTTAAATACTTTAGTCAGTTCAATAAATTTTTACAGTTTTGTTAATTTTTATTTGAAAATTTTTCATTTCAGTTTAATTTACATTTACACCCTTGATCCTTGTATTGTTCAACTGATTGAGGTTGATATGGAATTTTGAAAGTAATTTAAGTTAAGTATTAGTAATGCAATTCTTTTTAGAGAGAGTAATTATTAGTACAATAATCTAGTTACACTGTTGAAACTGTAATTAGTTGCTAGTAATTGTTAAAGTTAAAAGTTAAAGTAGTAATCCTGTTAGGGTGTTCATTAAGATCTGTGTGTTATTAGACACGTTAATATGGATGGAAAAGCAAGTGACCCCTTTAGCAGTGAGGCAGAACAGCTTCCTGGGACAGGAGTAGTGGGGAGGTAAGTCTATCACCATTTAAATATACAATCAGAAATTTCCTTTCTTGTTTGTCATTATATGAATTAAATTGCACATGGTCAAATGTGATATATTATGAGTTGTTATTAGCCTTGTCTGTGTTATGATTTTTTTTTTTTATTATTATTATATTATATTATTACGCTGGTAATTCTATTTCCTGTCTGTCTGGGTTATCAGGCTTTGGCTGCCCAAAGGTCTGTCTGGTAGTGTAATTAAGGATTGGGTTGACCGCAGACGGAAGTCCATCCGTCCATGGGCCAGCTTTGTAGACCAGCGCAAGTTCTCCAAACCTCGGAATTTTGGGGAGCTGTGTCAGCGTGTGGTGAAGAACCTGAACACCTATCACAGCAACTACACCTTCATCTTCCTGGGACTCATCCTCTACTGCATGTAAGGAACTGCTTACTGAAATCATCTTGAATTTTGCGTACAAACGAGGTCATATTTCACACAACGTGATTTTATTTGTATGCAACTTCTTCAAGTGACATAAAAGGCTCCACTGTAATGGAAATAAAGACGCTTAACAAGCCTCTGCTCTTATGTACACGACATGGGTGTGTGTGTGTGTGTTTAAGTTTCCCGGAAAGTCCACATTCTAGAAGGCATTTAGCAGAATAAACATTCACAGGAAGCTTTAAGGTGTTTAAATAAATTGCTGATTACCTGGTTTCTTTGTGCTTTTCTCCTTCAGTATCAGTTCCCCAATGCTCTTCATTGCTTTGGGAGTGTTTGCTGGTGCCTTCTATATAATCCACTTGAAAACACTGGAAAAGAAGCTGGTTGTTTTTGGTAAGAGAGTGTTTTGTAGCATATAAGGCTATATTAGGATGCGCCGACTACATAAATCCAGATACATTTGAAAATGCTTTTTTTTTGTCCTGTCCATTGAGAGTTTTTAGAAGATTCTCTCCCAAGTGGATAAATTTGAAAATACAGTTTTCGTGTTGTTGTGGGGACTGTGAAAACGAAGATGTTCGAAAACGTGCCAGAACAATAATGTTAATATGACCGTGCTTTTATGACTTAAGTTTTTCACGCATATGCAGTAAGATGATTTAAAGGGATAGTTCACTTTGAAATTAATTTTTGGTATGTTTTAGCTTACCTCAAGGGCATCCAAGATGTAGGTGTCTTTGTTTCCGCAGTAGTTTCTATGGTCACCACCTCAAAGAGCATGCACAGAGAAGTCCAAATCAAACATGATTTAATGACTCGTAAATGTAAGTACACATTGATGGCCTATTAAGACACGAAACGAGCGGTTTGTGTGAGAAAACGAACAGTATTTATATCGTTTTTACCTCTTGTAACCACAGCCACTTACAACTGATCTGAGGGCACGGGCGCTTTGTGGAAGTTGGAACAAGAGGTAAAAACAATATCAATACTGTTCGTTTTCTCACACAAACTGCTTGTTTCGTGTCTTAGGCCATCAATGTGTACTTGCATTTACGAGTCATTAAATCATGTTTAATTTGGACTTCTCTGTGCATGATCTTTGAGGTGGTGACCATAGACTTCCATTATATGACTGACAGACAAGAACGGTTTACCTAAAAATATCAAAATTGAAACTAAAATTTATTTCAAAGTGAACTATCCCTTTAAGCATTTCAGACATTTTAGTGTGGACAAGAACATTTTGAAAAAGGCTTGAAAAAACTAGTGTGAACAGAAAGCATTTTGAAATGAAAATGTCATTTTTAAGTGTATCTGAATTAATGTAACCTGAATTGCGTCATTTGATTTGTTTGCTTATAGTGCTAGAGTTTAAGGGCTGAATATTTGATGTTATGATGCAAGTGCTCTATTGATCTAATGAGTAAACTCTCATTTCTTTCTCTCAGGTCGTGAAATGACTCAGGGACACCAGTTAGGTTTAGCAGGAGGGGTTTCCTTCCCTGTGTTCTGGCTCGCAGGGGCAGGATCTGCTGTGTTCTGGGTACTAGGTGAGTTTTTTTTTTTTTTTTACCTTCATCTCATTGCACTTCTGTGTTTTTCCCCAAACAGCCTTTCTGAAACTCTGACTCTTTTTATTTAGGTGCTACACTTGCTGTTATCGGGTCTCATGCAGCCTTTCGTGAGATGGAGTCGTCTGACGTGGATGAGCTGCTCATGGAATCTGTTTAACCCTCTCACCTTTGACCTTTTTGTTCATGTTAACCGAAAATGTCTTGCCTCATCATTTACATGGCCACATATTGGTCGTACTAATTTGATAGTTTCTCACAGATTGGCCAGCAAAGAAGTAAAGACTGTTAAACTGGCTTCACCCGAGATGGATCAAGCACATTAAAAGACCTCAAATGCCTTTACTGGTACCTATTGGATATCATGATCATTTGTTACATTATTTCCAAAATATCCTCAAAGCACAAACTAAATGCACTGTGACCCAAAGCTAAAAAAAATAAATAAATAAATTTCAAGCTATACTGTCCTTCATGAACAGTTCACCCAAACCTGATGCTAGCTAATGTTATGCTAGCTCATCCAGAATAATGGGGGAAAAAACCTGCCAACAAGAATGTACTCACTTGACAATTTCTTTGATATATAGGGTATCAGTCATTACACGATCATGTGTCTTAGGCTGTTTATAAGTTGTTACATCAGTCTTGCTAGTACATTTAGCGCATGCATGATTTGATAATATGTGAGCAAAGATAGTGTATTATTGCTATATTCAATGTAATCAATGCCAATATTCCAACTGGAAGATTTTTTTATATATATATATATACACTCACCGGCCACTTTATTAGGTACCCCATGCTAGTAACGTGTTGGACCCCCTTTTGCCTTCAGAACTGCCTCAATCCTTCGTGGCATAGATTCAACAAGGTGCTGGAAGCATTCCTCAGGGAGTTTGGTCCATATTGACATGATGGCATCACACAGTTGCCGCAGATTTGTCGGCTGCACATCCATGATGCGAATCTCCCGTTCCACCACATCCCAAAGATGCTCTATTGGATTGAGATCTGGTGACTGTGGAGGCCATTTGAGTACAGCGAACTCATTGTCATGTTCAAGAAACCAGTCTGAGATGATTCCAGCTTTATGACATGGCGCATTATCCTGCTGAAAGTAGCCATCAGAAGTTGGGTACATTGTGGTCATAAAGGGATGGACATGGTCAGCAACAATACTCAGGTAGGCTGTGGCGTTGCAACGATGCTCAATTGGTACCAAGGGGCCCAAAGAGTGCCAAGAAAATATTCCCCACACCATGACACCACCACCACCACCAGCCTGAACCGTTGATACAAGGCAGGATGGATCCATGCTTTCATGTTGTAGACGCCAAATTCTGACCCTACCATCCGAATGTCGCAGCAGAAATCGAGACTCATCAGACCAGGCAACGTTTTTCCAATCTTCTATTGTCCAATTTCGATGAGCTTGTGCAAATTGTAGCCTCAGTTTCCTGTTCTTAGCTGAAAGGAGTGGCACCCGGTGTGGTCTTCTGCTGCTGTAGCCCATCTGCCTCAAAGTTCGACGTACTGTGCGTTCAGAGATGCTCTTCTGCCCACCTTGGTTGTAACGGGTGGTTATTTGAGTCACTGTTGCCCTTCTATCAGCTCGAACCAGTCTGGCCATTCTCCTCTGACCTCTGGCATCAACAAGGCATTTCCGCCCACTGGATGTTTTTTCTTTTTCGGACCATTCTCTGTAAACCCTAGAGATGGTTGTGCGTGAAAATCCCAGTAGATTAGCAGTTTCTGAAATACTCAGACCAGCCCTTCTGGCACCAACAATCATGCCACATTCAAAGTCACTCAAATCACCTTTCTTCCCCATACTGATGCTCGGTTTGAACTGCAGGAGATTGTCTTGACCATGTCTACATGCCTAAATGCACTGAGTTGCCGCCATGTGATTGGCTGCTTAGAAATTAAGTGTTAACGAGCAGTTGGACAGGTGTACCTAATAAAGTGGCCGGTGAGTGTATATTGTCATTTTGTGGAAATGTTTGTTTGTCTTTTATCTCACAACTTGCTTCTGTTGTGCCAATGAACGGGAAGTGCAATAAAATGCTCAGCCTGTACCATACCTTTAAGTCTGTTATATATTTAATAGTTGCTCATGGGAATGTAACTTGACTTATTGCCTCGTTTCATTTTTTGTGTCCTCTTTTTTCACACCACACAAATTTGACTTAGATGACCTGTTATATGACAGCAGGCCAGTGACAGTCCATCTCATTTTTAAGTTGCCATAGTGATGACCTTGAGTGCAATCTTCCTCTCGTTTAAACACTGCGGCAAGAGCAGCGATCGATATTCCATTACAGCAGTGCAGCAGAGAGGAAGAGGAGTACTGCAGTGAGCCCATAGCATTCCCCCATGGGACATTATGGATGTGTTGGGCAGCCTAGTTTTGCAAGTCAGTAGTTTGCAGTGACTTAAATGTATGATGAGTGCTGCGGTCAGCAGATTTCAGTCACTCTTCTGTGGCTGAAGATAGAAGACAGTCTTGTTTGCAATCATTGCGAGAAATAGATCAAGCTGTGGCTAATGTTGGTGTATTCTGTTGATTTCAATTATGTTTATGATTGGGCTCCAAGTTACCAGTAATGTATTTTTTTTTTTTTAGATATATGTTTTCATGTTATTCTTATTTAATTAATAACTATAAGCAGAATGTTTTGCCAATTAGTTCTGTCACAAAGAACAACTGGATGAATGTCATAGGAAAATATAATAGAATATAGAAAATATGGTAAAATAAAAAGGAATGCTGTCTATAAAGTTGTTTTAACATTTTATTTAGTATCAGTTCTGATAAGGAAATAAGCTATTAAAATGACCACTCAGGATAGAAAAAGTAAAGCAAAACAAAAACGTTTAAACCGTTTGTTGCGGATGTCTTCATTGAAGTGTTCATTTGTCTCTTGGTAGTCCAGGAGATGCGTATATGGGTTGCACTATATGCCCTCATCATCAAAAACCAGGAACACAACTACTCACTGTAAAGTAAAATAACACTGTGAGAATTGTGAGATTAGACTTAGGTCCAATGTAAAAAAAAAGAAGAAAAGTTTCAAAATACAATTTTATTATCTGCATTTAGTAGTACTAATTTAAGCATTATTTATATATACTACACTGTAAAAAAATAGTTTCAAGATTTGTTATCACAACATTTTTTCTTTTGTCAAATACACTTAAATAATTTATTTAGTTGGCATAACTTATTATTTTGAGTTTCTGATGATTAAATTAATTTCCTTCATTGTATTAACTCACTTTTTCCAGTTCAATCAACTTAAAATTTTAAGGCAACCAGGTTACTTACTTTTTTAAGTTAAGCCAACAATATTTTTTCTTACAGTATTGAAATTGGTTTCTTATTTATATTTGTTCATTCTTTTTAGTCATTTTTAATGGTTTAACATTTCATTTTACAATTCTTGAAGTTCTCTCTCTCTCTTTCGTTCACAAACTTGCAAAGGATAGTTTAGTTAGATATTTGAAGCAGTAAGGCCAGGAATGTGGAAAAGGAAGAGTCAGACATCACTTGGTAGTATTAAATGTACTAGATGTTTTATTGGATTTGACCTTTCTTATGCATGATTCTACCAGTAGTTTTGTCCTTTTGTCTTTAGTCTCAACATCCACGTGTCTGTCATATGGCCGACTGCAGCAGCGCACTCATTTTCCCTCATCAAACACACGCACGCAGACACTCACGCACATACAGACCACGTGACCCAATACTGCTTCATATCGATGGCATTTTCTGACAAACCAGCGGTGGAGCCTGCACACACCAGGCTCAATTGTGAAGTTTGGATTAAATTTGTTTCTCAAGTGAGATATTCGGAGAACAAATGATATGACAGATAAACATTGAAATCTACCTTCACCAGTCAATGTGCCAAAAACAATAAAACCTGGTGTGTCTAGGTCCGTGTCGGCAGTGGAGTTTATTTCGTTAAACATCATAGTTTTCTGTGCAAAACCTGATAGGAAACTGCCTGTGTGTTTCAGTCATATGAGTTAAAACATACAAGAGGATCAATTTGAAGTTTTTTTCAGTGTTTCTATTTTCCAAGATTTGTCTTCATTTATTTAATCAGATGTGGTATTTTTTTTTTACATTTTCCCTAAAACACAGAGATTGAGAGTGTATTGGAACATTCAGGGTTATTGTAGCGGACAAACAAGCACACAAACAAAGACAGAGAGCGAACGTCAATGAGAGTGAGAGGGGATGCCAATGTCAATCAAACAAAAGTAGAGATTAAAAAACGGAAATAAAAATGAAAAGCCGCCGAAACCACCTCCGTAAGAGATTAAAGAACGTGAAATGTCCTAAGAAGCAAAAGTATTAATGAAATAGTGAATGATACTATGTTAAACGGAGTCTAGTTTGTTCACTGGGATCCGACAAGGTTTTGTGTGATCTGTGTATCCGTGTGTGACTGGAGGACAGGCCGAGGGTAAAGGCAAGGATGTAAAGGATTGGGCGGTGGAGGGACGGACTTTTTTAATAGGCGAGCGTACATACTCCCTTTTTTTAGCATCAAAAGCTCCTTTCAAATCTACATAATGATTATGCAGCTGCCTGTTTTAGATATATAGCAGACTTTATGTACACAGCCGTGTGAAAATACATGCAAAGAGTATTATAGGAAATGGTGGGGGGGTGGGGGGGGGTCTGGATGATGCATTGTGGTTTCCTCTTTGGGGGGGGGAGACGTGCTATTGGCTTAAAGCTGTTGTCTCTTTGAAAGGAGGGCGGGAGAGGATGTTTGTGCATCTCGGTTGGGTAGAGAAGTAGTAGAACAAAATGGGAGATGTAGGAATGTGAATAAAGAAGTTGTGTTGATCAATAGTATGTCTCCCTTTCCACCCATCCTGCAAAAAAAAAAGACAGAAATAGAGATGGAATCACTTTGAGAAATGTTGACGTTTTCATTCATAATTCTTAACTGAATAATGTTTTATTGGATCCCTAATTCAAACAAAGACCATTATTGACCCAATTGTACGACTTTATATAAGACAAACAATTGGGTGGATGTGTAATTCTGAGTGTGTGTCTTTGAGGCACTAGAGAGGAACACGTACCACCGGGGTTCCGGCGCAGGAGAAGCTTTCGCACCTCATCATACACAAAGATTAAGAAACTGTATGGGAAAGCACAGAACCACCAACTCGGCCTAAGGACGAGAGAGACAAATGAGGAGAGACACAATTTTAAATGGCAGAATACTTATAAGTACCACTTCATGTAATAGAAATTGAAATTTTAACATTTGTATACAGTATGCAGTATCAATTTAAGGTCATGTCATATATTTCACATGTGTTTTCATTATCAACCTAATAATTAAAGTAGATTCTTTACTAATGAAGTAAATCATTAAATCTGAATCCGTTTCAGTTTGATTGGATTATTTTGGTAATATTTGAAATGATTAAAAATTAAATTATTTGAAAGGACAGTTTCCACCATTTTGGCATATTGACTAAAACAGTACACAAGATTTTACATT